GCTGATACAACAAATGCTTTAGAACTAACTATATGGGAATCTCATTTTGATCAAATAGTATTAGGTGATTCTTATCATATTCGTTTATTAAAAATGCGTATATTTAATGATCAGATATCATTAACTGCAACAGCAGATACATCTTATGGCATAAAAAATTAAATATAAAATAATTAAATTACTCTATTTTTTTATTTATAAGATTCATAAAAATTGAAGATATACAACAAATCGTAAACGAAGTTGATAACAATATAAATCGATGCCACACACTTCGAGGAAAAATCATGTCCATCGAAAAAAATAGTGATCAATTTACATGTCAAGGTTGTGGTGGTTTAAATATAACTGAGACTCCTAATATTATTACATGCAATGATTGTCATTCTCGATTATTCAAAGATACAAATATGAATGATGATAATCTGAAAATCATGATATTAACATTAAATAATCAAGAATATAATTTAAAAATACCAAAATCACTTATAATTAATTTATTAAACGTAGATAAAACATCTTCAACACAAAATACTGATATTTTTTACAATGAAAGTAGTTTAAATAATCTTCTTTCAACCGATGTTCAGTTTACGTATAGTGAAATTACTGGCCTTATTACTGATGTAGCAATATATATCCAACACTAAGCCAATTCGTCAACGAATATTGTACCAATAAAACGATTGTCAAAATTTTTAATAACTTTTATCTTTTTCTTTATAAATAAAATCACCATAGCAATTTTTGAAATAGTTAACAAAAAGTTGAAACTTCAAACTAAATAATTACTAAATAATTTAAACATAGATAAAAAATATACAAAAAAAAATATCACACTACTACTTGCTTTTTCTATTTTACTTCAATCTAAATAAAAATATACTATATTTTATTCGAACAGTCAAATATTTATTAGTTTCCACAAAGTCAAATAAAGTACTTTTGAATATCAACTACTTAAACTTGATATATTTTGAAATTTTTTTGACATGACCATCTTCGTTCCATCTTATTCTTCATACAGACTTCGTATTAACTATAAAATGTATGAAGCCAGAATACAATGCTTAATTTGAATAACAAAAAAAATGAATAAACAACCAATTAAAAACCAAACTGATAAAAGCTCAAAAGTAAATATTAATATAAATAAAACATTAACTCAAACTAATAGTTAGGGTATATCAAGATCTATGACGTAAAAATGTTCGCAATCAAGGCCAAAGTTATTTTACGAACGCATAAATCTTCAGAAAAACTGAAGACGGTAAATTTCGAAGACAAGCTTGCTGGTTATCACATGCCTTAAATGCTCCTACATCCTGTACTCAAACGCTATTATTATCAAAGCTATAACAACACCTATAGAACAATTCTAATACCCACCAACATGTTATGTTTCAGCAACAAAAGAAAACAAAACAGTGAAACGTGATCAGATATTTTGATGCGAACTTACGTGAGTTTTACATTTTTAGCCCCAACGGGGCTGCGCTGATAAGCTTTTTTATTTAAATTATTATCTACAGATTATCTAATGTCCGTTTTTCTCTTTCGCCAGTCGATTAAGCACCTTTTGACGTTTTATATTGTATATCTAGAGGTGAGAGTAGAATTTGATATTAATAATTAATTAAAATATTTTTATAGAATACTATTTACTTCATCGAAATTTTATTCTATCGTTTTTTTGTTATTTCACATAGAAAAACGATACTTAAACAAAACAAACTAATCATTTTTAATTAAATTATCATTCTCATCAATTCTATATCCAAATACACTTCACACAATCAACTGCTGTTACAGCTAGCACATGTTTTTATAAACATTTTTCATCCTTTTAAAACATATATATTTCAAATTTGATATGTGTTTCTCATTTGATTAAGTTTTTATTGTACTTATATGTGAATATTGTTCATCTATTTATTGATCTTTTCACTATAAAAATTGAGAAAAATAGGGAAGAAAATTGCCAATATGACTATGATGAGATCGCAACAGCAAGTATATTCAACTTTTATTCTTCTTGTTTTTCATACTTCGATGAAAGCTCGATCTACTTAATATATAAAAAA